TAACATCCTGCTAATAGAAGATCATCAGTTCAAAGCACGTGGCTGTTCTCCCTTCCTGTGGTGTGTTCTCCCAGTGGGCCTGTCCATACCCACATCCCATCCAGGCCACAGAGGAAGTCAGCTGCATGGTGCTGTGGTCACAGAAGAGAAAAACAAAGTGGAGAAGAGTGAGGACAGGACCTAGAGCCTGAAACTGAGCCGGCAGGAACAGTCTCCTGGTGGGAGCAGAGAAACCATGATCCTGCAAACATCACATCCTCTAGGAAAACTTCCTTGCCTACTGATGACTTGAGCAGGCCGCTTCTCCATAAGCCTACCACACTCGTCGTGTGTTTACTGTAATCATTACCATTCTATATTGTAGTGATCTTCTTGTCTGTCTTTCTCAGTGAAGACACTTTATCTTATTTACTTTAATACCTTTATCACTTAGCCAGGCAAATACAAGAAAATGTTTTCTTAATGAGTGCATAACTTAATGAATAATTTTAAAAAAATAAACTTAATTTTAGAATACTTTAATTACAGAAGAATTGTAAAGATAGTACAGAGAGTTCCCATATACCCCACACCCAGTTTCTCCTATCATTAGTATCTTACACTAGGTACATATGTCACAATTAAAGAAAGATATTGATATGTTATCACTAACTAAAGGCCTTACTTTATTCAGATTTCTTTAGTTTTTATCTAATGTTATTTGGCTGTTCCAGGATCCCATTTAGGATACTACATTACATTTAGTTGTCACACGTCTATAGGCTCCTCTTGATTGAGATGATTTCCAGACTTTCCTTGTTCTTTGATGACTTTGACAGTTTTGAAGAGTGCTGGTCAGCTATTTTGTAAAATGTCTCTCAAATGGGATTTGCCTAATGTTTTTCTTATGATTAGACTGTGGTTATAGGTTTTCGAGGGGGATATAACAAAGATAAAGTGCCATTCTCACCACATCATATCAATGGTGCAAACTTATCAATATGACTTATCACTGTTGATGTTGACCTTGATTACCTGGCAAAGGTCGTGTTTGTCAGATTGCTCCATTCTTTTTCTCTTTTTTCCTGCCTTCCTTTGAAGGAAGTCACTATATGCAGCTCCACCTCCTTAAGGTGGAATAGCTACATAAATTTTTTGGAATTCTTCTGCATGGGAAAGATTCATCTCTTCTATAGATATAGAAGACTTATCTATATCATTATGGACTCATTCTATTTATGTTTTACTTTAGATTACAATCCAGTACTACTTTTATTTTGCTGCTCACATTGTCCCAGTTTGGGCCACTGGGAGCTCCCTCCCTCAGTTGGCTCCTGAGACTCCATCATTTTTTTTTTTTTTCCTGTATTTTTCAGTGCTACAAGATGCACCAGGCTCACCTTGTCTATTTCCTGCCCCAGCCCTAGAATCAACATTTTCTCCAAGGGGTCCCGGTTCTTTTTACTGGAGAATGGTATTAGAAAGCAAGCTGTGGGCCCCAAGTGTGCTTGTAACAACTAGCTGTTGGGGTATACTTGTTCCTAGGCCCTCTCAGCTGTCAGAGCTGGGAAATATGTTTAGTAATCTGTATACCTATACATGTCTGTAAATGTTTCCATATGTGTCCATTTGTAACTAAATAAAACTAAACATGAGTTCATCCTGACGCCCCTACTTCTAATCCATTACCACATGGATCATTCTAGTCTTAATGAACCATTTTTAATCATAACACCATATTAGAGATTTTGTGCTAGGTACGGTGCCAAGCTGTTTATAAAGATTACCACATTTAATCATCAAAACAATTTTATGGGTAAATACTATTGCCCACATTTAACAGAGGAATAAACTGAAGCACCAAAAAAATGAAGTATCTTACCTAAACTCACAAAGTGATGGGGCCAGCTTAGCCTATATCTTTGAGATTTCACGCCCACCAAGTGATAGAGAACACCCTCCCTACATTCATCTAAGACTTTGCAGAAAATTAAATTCCGAGTGATTTAAGATACAGATGTAATTCTTAGCTCTCACCAACCTATTGTTGTGTTTAAATCTTACCTCTTCAGTACTTTCCCACCCGCTTCCCAGGGTTCTCTCTCCATCTGATGTGCTAACTGGAAGACAAGTTGCCAAGTTACAACCTGACTTGACAGCACAAAAACAGGGGTGCTGGTGCGATGGCAAGGATCAGCTCCATCTAACCCCGTGACTTTTCAAACTCTGGCTAACCCCTTCTGTATATTATCTTGGGTTTTGGTGACTTGGTCGTAATTAACTCTGAACAAGCAGCTCTGCTTTCATGGAGTGAAAAAAAAGAAGAGTATTTTTTTTTTCCTCTCTTGTTAATTAAATCATCTACAAGGAAGATAAATGTGCAGCCCACACTTGTATCTTCTAAAATATCAAAGGCCTGATTAGTAAGTGTTATGTTCAACCTCAGGCTTTTTCTTCAGATTCCTGGAAGTAACAGGTAAATACTTAGAAGCTTCTAAGTATTTACCAATATTCTCTTACTTGGGATTCGTTCATTCATTCTGGGTGATCTAGAAAGAGGTAACTTGTATAGCATAAAACGTTCCTGGGAGTTTCGTTTCCACCAACCTACTGATTTAGAAACATCAGCAGTGAGCAAAAGGAAGAAAGGGAATCCTTCAGACCAGGTTGAAAACCATTTTTTGAAAAGCCTGCACCCCACTCTGGTCTCTGTGTTCTGTTTGGTGAATTTTTCCTGACAGTTGGTGGTTTTATTTGCCAGAACCACAACAAAGGGGGTCCTTGAGTTTCCCTGGGAGTGTTTCCTCAGACCTGCACCTCTTCTAGACCTCACAAAGGTGTTATTGTTGCTGGCTCGCTGGGCGCCCAGCACCTGAGCAAGATCAAAGACACTTTCCGATGCCAGCATGACCACAGTCTCGCCCTCACCACATAACATTAAAGCTGATGATTAATCCTCCTGGCTCAAAAGGTCCCTTCCCACTCCCAAGTACAAAGCAGGGTGGGGGTGGGGGCTTTATTTCCAGTACAACACGACCATAATAAACTGGCATTTTATGACCCTCATTCATTGCAACCAACTGCAGCTGCCCATCAACCTCGGTAAAGCCCAAACAGTTGCTTCGTGTGAGCCTTTTATATCACTAGTAAAGTGTAATGAGAATCCCACCATTTCTGAGTGCCTATAATGTACTAGGTATGCATGTACATAACTCATATCACCCAGCAACCCTTTGAGACTGGCATCATTACCCACAATGTGGTGGATGAAGAATCTGAGGCTCAGAAGTTAAGTATCTCATCTCAGCTCACAGGGCCCAAGAGTACATGAGCTAATGTCCAAACCCACATCTGGATGACTCTGAAGCCCATGCTATCTCCTTTCTTCTATGGCACACTATCGTCCTGCACAGTACACTAAGGCATCGAGGAGGATGCACTTGGGAATAAGATGGGGCTAGATCTGAGTTCTCAGCTCCAGCTTAATAGCTTTGTGACCTTGGGAAAATTATTGGACATTTATATGCCTTAGTTGCTTAATTTGTAAAATGGATACTTTAGGAAAAGTATCATCCCAATTAAGAGACAAGGAGACTGAGAAGCGGGAATGTCACAGAGTGACTCACATTCATTTGGATTTGATTTTGCTCAGAAATCTGAATTGAGTGGGGTAAAAATGCATGAAATTCAAACCTCACAGGAGAAACTGGATTAGATGTGCCCCCTGTGAAAGTAGAGGATTATTTAAATAGGTTTAAGTCAGTATTCAGTGACGACAAGCTAGCAAGTGTAGACTCATGTCAAGAGAAATAAGGGCTGGCTGCCCTGGTGGGCATGTCCTATTTGAGGTGGCCTTGGGCCTCTGCAGGTCTCTTCCTTCAAGGACAGCTAAGTCTTACGATAGGGCTGCTGAGGGGAAGAGAGAGGCTGGGATACACCTTGCACAATGTCTGGCATATAACAGATGCTCAGTATTACAAGTTCATCTGAATCTATACTTTGGGGCCTTGTGTTAGAATACCCGTTATAATTCTATCTCATCAATGAGAGGCCCTATGTCATCCTGTTGTCCCCCAAATTTAGCACAGCCCCAGACACAAGAGCAGAGGATCAGTAAGTAAGTAAATATATCAATATGTACTCAACCAAAATACTTAACAGTAAAAAAGTTTCATTGGTCCCTACCGTTATTAAACAGTTTCTCATCGCCATGATTCCCTTCACAGTTCTGAGCTTCTGCTCTAGGCTGTGTATCCCACTCTAATCCTTGCTCACTCTCCTGCTCCTCCCCCATTTCCCTTCCTCCTCTCCCCCACTCTCCCTTCTATTTTACTCATCTGGGAAAAATCCAAGGAGTCGTCCATGCAAGTTTAACAGAGTAATGACTTTTAAATAAAAATATGGTAGAAATGGGTACTTATCAAAATGGAATGCTTTCAGACTCATGCATTTAAAAAAGATATAAATTTTAGGGCAGGCACTAAATTTTAACTGCAATCTTGGAGAAAGCCTTTCCACTAATTCATGGAGAAAAATTAACAAAGTGAAAATTGCTTATCAGTGTTCTTTTGAAGTCATGATATGCAGCCTAATTCTATAGATCATCAGGCTGCTCCCAGGGAGATAGATTTATATTGATTGAGAGAGAGCTCAGCGGCCAAGGAAAACAGACACCCCTCTGCAGAGAAGACTCCACTACCCATTAGGGACAGATCAATCTGGGAGTGAGACTTTGCCATCTTTGGATCCGATTACACCCCTTACACTGCCTTGGATCTCTGTCCAGGGTGATGTCAAAGGCAGACTCAACCCTTTTCACACTTTTTAAAAATTTGGCCCAAGAAAAATATCTGGCAAATTTAAACAAGGCTGTTGGAGTGAGAGCTGGGCTTCCGGCTAGACAAAGCACGGGTGGCAGGAAGGGAAGAAGCTGAGCGGGTAAAAGGGCCAGCAGCTCAAATCTCCTCTGGGCTGCCCTCCCCCTGAGTGTGGCAGTCCCGCCTTTGGCCTGGCAGACTCACCCCCATGTGACAAGAAGATGTTCCACAGATGACAGCCAACCGTGACGTCACTGGCTGTCCCTCACAGGCGAGGCCGTGCCCCCTCACATCTGCTCCAATCACTCCTGTGAGAAAGCAAAACAAAACAAAATCCCCTTTTTTTAAAAATAGGATAGCTAAAAACAAGCATAAAACATTCTTTTTTCTTTTTTTTTTTTCCCCATAATCAAACAACATTGAGAAAGCGTTCCATGTGTAAGTCAGTCTCAAATAGAAACCAAAAGAGCATACTTGCCTGCCTTGGGAAAACTAAGAAACCTGTTTTGTTTTTGCTTTATTCTGGTAAACGTAGAGCATTCGGCACTGTAATAATAATAGTAAATGTAATTAGAATAATAAAGGCAGCAGCTATCAGTGATATTTGTGCTCAGTAAATACCAGGCACTATGCTGAATATTTACATGTATGGTCTCATTTTATATTAAGCCTGTCAGGTTGTTATTAATACCACACAAGTTAGTGGAGAAACAAAGGCCTATGAAGAGGTTGAATGACCTGTCCAAGGACACACAGCTAGTAAGGAACAGAGCTGAACGGAATCTGGTTTAACATATCACATTTCAATCTCAAAGAAGGCAACAGAATGGTTTGATGATAGAATCTTTTTGGCATCTCTCGGCCACCATTCTTACTACCACTTACTGCAGAACTCACAGTAAAGACAGTTTCTGTTAAAAGAATGCCAAATAGCAGAGATTTTCTCATAAATGGTATAAACTCAGGCTTCTTCTCCACGCAGATCATATTTCTTGATGCTTGCTCGGCAAATGAAGTTACAAATGTGATGAGAGATCTAGAGAATTTCAGAGCCTGGAATTGTCATTTATTCTATGCACAAAACTATACAGTAGGCATGATATGGGAGCCACAAACATGAAAACATTCCTAACCATAACACAGGCAGGAGGTGAAAACAGCTCAGGGCAGGGCACAGAGACGAATGGGATGCAGGAGAGAACAGCTCCCGCTAACCTCATCAGCTCCAAGCAATGCCACCCTTGTTCTCCATCTTCCATTCACAATGCTCTTTCTCACTCCAAGACCTTTGCATTTGCTCTCCTCTGAAATACCATTCTCCAACCTCTCTGTAGAGCTAACTCCTGTTTATTCCTAACTCAGAAGGCTTCCCTGATTCTGCAGGAAAAATGGAGTCTCCCTCTTCAATGTTCTCGTGAACTCTCAGTCTTCCCTAGCATACAAGACACTAGTAATTTTAAAAAGTCATACATCGTCCACCTCTTTTATTATAAAAGCTGCAGGAAGCTGGCACTGCCATACCCAAGTGCTTAGCAGCACAGCCTCAACCAAGGTTGCTAGCACAGAGCAGGAAGTGAAAGCACAAATGTTTGGGGATGCACAGATAAAGAAGCCAGGTCCCTGTTCTGGGGTGCTCACAGTTGTGAAGGAAGGGAGAGAGGACCGTAAGTGGAGCATTTTGATGCGGGGACGAGTATGCTACAGGAGAAACTGCAGGGGCAGCTGAGCATGCATGTAGGGGTTCTGAGAGGTTTCATAAGGAAGTGGGTCTATGCTGAGCTCTGTAGGAGGTAGCTAAGTGAAAAGCAGTCTGAGGGTGTCTCCTCCACAAGTCCCCAGATACTGAAGGCGCTGGCTACTCAGTGAGCAGGCCTTTCCAGAAAGCAGGATCTAATGGCCACTTAAAGGCCTCTTACATTCCGACAAAGTTCTAGGTTTTTCCAATACATTTTTTCCAAATTCTACCTTCCCAGCCCCAGTCATTTGTAAACTTCTATTGTTCAGAGATCCGGCAGCAGGGGGAAGTAAGATTCTTTCAAACTTTCTGTGTCAGTTGTCATAGCAGTTAGGTCCCAGACACCAGGAGTCTGAGGTCTGGGATTTAGCCTGTAAGAGTCCTGGGCCTACTGACTTTCAACAAGTCCCACTCTCTGCTCAGTACTGTGGGGCTGCCCCGGCAGACTGCCATTCTCAGACTCTAAGTCAGCCACGGTTGGCCAGCAGATCTGAGGGCTGAAGGAAGTGGGAAGCCAGAGCACGTCTCCTCCACCCCGCTTCCCCGATGTCTGGTGGCTGCTTCTCTCCATCTCCAGCTCTGCCGACAGGGCCACCGTGATGCCAGCACCTGCTGGCGTCCACCACCCTTGGTCTTTGGGAACACCACCTTCTTCGTTTCACCAGCGTAGGGGTGGTAGCAGCTTCTGTCTTGATGATCTCCGCTTTGCTTCACAGGGAATGTAGCCCTTCTTATCTCCTCCATCATCTGGGTCATCATCTGAGGATATTAAATTCTCTTTTTCACAGAGTGGTTTATGCTTTTCTGGGTAGACTCTGAATGATTCAGTTCTCAATTCAGGGTACACAGGCTTTTTGATAGGAAGCAACTCTAGATATGAGCTCATTTTAACTGAACTTTTTGCACATTCTCTCTCTGTACCTGTCTCATTTTATTCTCATAACTACCGAATGTGATTTAGTAGTCTCGTCATCCTCATTGTGGATGAGGAAACTGAAGCTTAGAAATGATAAGTAACTTAACTAAGGTAAGATAGCTCATGAGAAACAGGGGTAGGAGTCACGTTCAGGTCATCTGATTCCAAACTGCTGATTTTTAGGATTTTCTCCATGATAAAAACCCAATAGCCATGTGGTCAATGTTTACTTATCTGTATATATCAAAATATTGGGTTCTTAAAGATATCGATCCTGAGATCCTTAACAGAAAAGGGGTTGGCAGTTGCTAGGCCACACTTTCAAATAAGTACAAGTAATTTCTGGTGATGATCCACATTTACTGGTGCCACGTATGTGAAACACAGCAAAGTGTATCTTACAGGATCATTCAATCTTGAATAGTGGTTAAAATGGGAAAAAAAGAAATGTATGGGAAGTATTTCTTTGTTTCTTGTCTAGTAAGCAGATTCACCATTGGTACATTAAGGCTTAGAATTTAAGAACTAGTGTGTTATACTAAGAAAAAAATAAAATTTGTAGGCAGAAAGTCCTTGTATAGAATGAAGAAATAAACAATATCACATAGTTGCTCTGATATTGAGGAAATGTTTAAAAATAAAAGTTTGATTAATGGCAGTTATGTCACCATCACCACTACCACCATGACCCTAACCGCTGTCACCATCATTATCATCAACATCATCTTAACTCTTTTTTTCAAAAAGCAGTTATATCCTTTCTTCCTTTCTAGCAAACGTACCAAATATCTATGAAAGGCTGAGTACTATGCTAAGTACTTTAAGTATTATCTCATTTAATCTTTGCAACATCCATAAAGCATAAATATGCTTTCTCCCCTTCGACAGATGCAGAAGCAAGAATCAGAGTGTTCAAGTAACTTGTCCAAAATCACACAGATATAATAAGAAGCAGTGCCAGGATTTGACCTTGCCCTGTTTGATTCCAAAGCCCCTGTTATTTCAATACTCCCTCACTTTAAGATGTGAGAATTGTCTTACATATAGGAATGCATCTGGAAGTGTCAGTTACCATGGAACATTAGTAGGTGCCATGGGTTTAGAGTTCAAAAATCTGAGTTTGGACTCTGATTCTGTCACAACCGACCTGAAAGTTTGAACTGTTCCCTCACATCACAATAAGAGAAATGGATCCCAAATGGAGGTCCTTTCTTAGCCACTTTCAGTACACAATATACACAGTGCTTCTTCTAAAATACCAGGTAAACAGGAGGGCAGAAAAAATGCTTCCTAAGATCCTCCATTCTCATCCCTCTGAGACTTAGATAACCTCAGGCGGGTTCATACAGCACCAGCGAGATGTAGGTAATGTCCAATTTCCCCTCAAGAGAGGTTCTCTATACTCTGCCTAATGCCCACTTGATTCAACAGCAGTGCAGAGCTGATGCCCACCATGGAATCACGTGAACCCAAGAGCTGACCCAGCTCATTTTCCCTTTGGCCACACAGAGCTTAGACGGGCCATCCCTGAGAAAAGAGGCCCGAAACAGGGAAAGCAACAAAAGGCAGAAGGAGCTTGCTCCTTTCTGAACAAACACATTTCACAATCCACAGAGGAATCACGGGCTGCACATGTAACATCAGGAAACAATTCACAAGATGAGATTTTGACAAGCGCAGCCCTCAACACCGCTGGGGCCCTTCGTATGGCTGTACAAGTGTCAGTTTATTCAGCATTCTGCAGAAAGTTTAAAAGGAAAAATTAAACTGAAGAAATAGGCACACACATATAAAAGTGATATATTCAGATGTGTTTTCCCTGAAACTTGCCCAATGCTCCGCTAATGATAGTTGCCCGATAAATTATTGTTCAATGAAAAAAACAAATAGGATAATAAGCTTACTGAGTCAATGAATCAATTCAGGGCCTCTAATTTAATGACTCCTACGCTTCGACATTAATGAAAACATAGTTGATATCAAGGAATATGTTTTAAAACAAAACTAAAAAGGAAAAATTAAAACTTCATGGAAAAACTCTCTTTTACCCTTATGTGCTATCTCCCTCCCTCCCCACCCTTCACCAACCATTTATCCTTCCACCTATACATTTATTGAATATCTACTATATTTATGTAAAAGAAAAAAGACTTCACAAATGTTATGATTAAGAGTAGGTTATCCTGTAATTTATCTAGCCACAACTGCTTTGAAAACTTTAAAGGGTTATATAGAAGAAAAAATCCCAAGTTCTAGTATTTGTGTTATAATTATCTCATACTTTATAGCTATATAAAGTACTTTATAGCTTGCAAAGCATCCTCAAACACTATACCCTTCATTTAGCTTTTAGAAAATCCTGTGATATATGTTATTTTATTTCCAGTTGAAAAAAACCTGAATTTTAGAGGGGTGAAGTAACTCAAATTTATTTAGCTACTTAAAGGCAGAGGTAGGGCTCGAACCAGGATTTTCGATCTCCTAATCTGAAGTTTTATCCCCATGTTTGAAAAATAAAAAGGTCTTCTATGGATGTGTTTGTATCTTGAAAAAGATCCTCTTGAAAGAACCACCTCAGACACCTTCTTTAAAAGAAAAAAAGGATGAGAAGGGTTTGAACATTACCCAAGACTGTATGAACTTGACACTCTTGATCT